TGTTCTCTCCATGTTGCTCCGTCGTTATTTTTCCCCACTTCATGTCTGTTTTTGTTTTGTGTTTATCTTGGAATTTGTTCATCTTTAGGACTTTTTTTTAATCGATAATTTGCTTTTTTTTTATGGTTGGGTTTGTTGTTATTTTCAACCCCCCCCAAACCTGCAGATAATGACCAAATAAAAACCTCTATCATTTGTGTGAGTGTGTGAAAAGCACCAGATGAGACTGAGCTCAGCCTGTCTGTGCTTACAGCTCCCCCTACAGGCCGCTCAAGCTAAAAACTGCAACCTGTTGGTGAACTAAACAGGTGTCGCCCCTTTGTCCCCGTCCTTGTCTCACCCCCGACTTTGGCTTCATTTTTCCTCAGTATGCTGAGTCTGTGCAGCCCCCCCCCAACTCAATCACTCCCTTTGTCCTGTTTTCCCACAATCCCCCTCTGGAGAGAGAGATAAGACATTCTGCACTGCAGCTCCTGTTAGGTCCGTCAATATTTACTTTTACTGTGTGTGTGTTAAATGCCTTCACAGCCGGGCAGCGGAGCGCCTGTGTGTGTGTGTGTGTTTGGTTGGCCTGATTTCTTGCAGCACTGTGTGATCAATCTTTTGACAGTTTGCTGACTCGTTTCTTTGTCATGGACTCCCCTCCCCTCCTTGTCTCAGTCGCTGTCTGAGACAGAGGCTGTCCACACACACACACACACACACACACACACACACACACACACACCCTTGATCACTGTCATTTGGGGGGTTATAAGCAAACACTGTCTGCCTCTCCTCCACCTAGAATGACTGAATATGAAGCTTCAGCTTCTTCAGCAGCTATACCGGGGGTTATTCCACCATCTCCACCCAGTGTGAAAAAAGTAAAGTCAGGCTTAAAATAGCTCAAAAAGCAGAGCAAAAGCAGCTCCTTGCAATGAAGAGAAAGGTATTCATATATGAGGAAAGGGAATAGAGCTGAGATGAGAGAGAGGGGGAAGGAGGAGAAGAAGTGAAACCCAGCAGAGGCTCGGTATTGTGCTGCTAATGCAGTCCAGGCTTGGATAATCCAACAAAGGTTACTGTGGAGACCAACAATGAGGGTCCAAGGGGCCCCCGACCACCGAGACGGGACAGGCAAGGAGGGAGGAGACGGATGGGGGGAGGAGAAGAAATCAAAATCTACATCTCAAACTGTCTGAGCCTGATTTCAGTTTTAAAGTCTGTAAGATTCCTGTTTGTTGATCTGAAAACGCACCACTTCCTGTGCAGGGGAAGGCTTTTTCCTGAGAAAGGAGTGACACAACTACTGGTTTCAAGCTTTAGTCACTGCTGAGTGAGACCATGGAAAGTTGTGGTTTAGTTTTTCTCTGCTGCAGTACTGAAGACTGATTGTAACTGTAAACTGACTGAAATCAGTCTACGTGGGTGAAAGAGCAACACATTTCCCAAAAATGCTGCTTCTGCAACTACTGGAGGTGGACTCAGTCAGCCCTCTGCATGTCCTTTTGACTCAAACATGATCGTGATTTATTAAATATCCGCCACATTTGAGCATTTTATTTATTTAATGAGTAGTATGCTCAACAGTCGCCCCCTGCAGGGTGAAATAGTGCAAGTGTAAGTCGCTCCCATGTCGGCATCACTTTTCACATCCTGAAGCTACAGGTAGCCGATACTGCTGACGCTGCCTTAACTCACCATAATCGGCTAATTGGCTTTTACTTGTGCCATAAAACCAATCAGATAGTTCTGTAGGCGGGATAAACCTTCTGGGATTGGTTATAACATCAGGTTTTTTCTTTCGTTTCTTTTTCTGTAATCTTAAATGATGGTTTGGTAATTAAGTTTAACACAAGGTTACGAGATTTAAAACAGACTTATTTACCATGTTCTTTTTTCAGGCCCAACAGCTGAACATAAGTGAATATGTAAAGCAAAGGTGAATCAAGTACAGTCGGTAAAGCATCAGAAGATCAAAATGAAATCATGAAAACCAAAAGGAAACTGAGCCGTGGCAGTCTGAAGTTCAGGAGAATGAAAAAGGAGGAATTTGTCTGAAGTTAACGGTCAGCACTTGCTGGCTTTTCTTGTAGTTAGTCAATGCATGAGAAAATATCACCGTGACGTCTTTGAGCTTTAAATGCGTCTTCATTGGCTCTCTTGCTTAAAATGACTGACCTTCAGCTGTGTGAACACTCAGTTTTCTCTCTCAGAGAAAAAAGAGCCTCAGAATGAATCCAGCAGCAGTTTGAGCGTCAGTGTAAACAAGGCTTTCTGGATTGTCTTTGCTGCGTTTGATTCGTTTCCTCTGTGCTCAGACCTTTTCGGCGACCATGAAGCTGTTACGTATTTATTTATTTATTTGTTTTTGGCCGCTGACCCACGGCCTCCACGCTCCCTCGTCCGTCCTCTCCTCTGCTCTCCAGATGCCGCCTCACAGATGGACGACATGCACAACGCTCGGCTGAATTTTATTTATTTGACTCGGACACACAGTTTACAGGAATGCAAGTAAACAGTTCCAAGGTCAGGTTAACCTTTTGGATCTCCAGTCTGGTCTTGATTTTACTTTTTATCAGCATTTATCTGTTTATATTTATCCGCCATTACTATTAACAGGTTTAAATCTCAAATTTCAAGGACCCCAGAATTCATTTGGTGAGGCTGGTTGGTTTATTTGTATTTTATTTTACTGTTGGGTCTAAAACTCTAATTATACTTCTTTATTACATTTTCTGAAACCGTGATCTTGCATGCACCATCAGCGCAACATTTATTGGATATTCAAATAAGATAAACGAGTATTCTACACGACTATTTCTAGTGTGGAAATATAGATTTTACTCATGTTTTACCACAGACCCCAAAGCGTTAGCCAAGTCTCGTTATGAAGGGTGTTTTGAAAACTGCATATGAAACCGCACACACATTCCAGACTCCAAAAGGGCATCCATACAGGGTGTGACCAGCAGCAGAGACCATGGAAAGTCAACAACATGCAGCAACGACAGGCGTAATAACCAGTTAGTGACATGTAGTGGGCGGGTCCTGCATTAAACATTTCTCTATTTGAAGGTGAGCCATGAAAATGCCAACCAATGACAGCAGATGATTCTGTTAACTGACATATGACACTATAGTAAATCAAGTATAGGGTTACCTAGGTTACCTGGAATCACCGCCAGCAACAAAGCGATATGTGATGAGGAAATTGCCTCCTGTGTAAACGCTACTCGATAAGGACCATCATTTACGAAATGATCTTTGTGTTTAATTCAGTATGACCTGATACTAACACCTGAGGCCAGAAAACATCAGGAAAGTGTATACTGAGGTCACAAAGGGAGGAAGATGAGGCCCGGTTTCCCACAGACTTCTACAGGACTGAAGTCTTTCTGTGACCGCAGGGATCGCCCCCTGGTGGCCTTTCAAAGGAATGCAGAGTTAAGGCACCTCTGTCACTTTATAGATCTGGAAGCTACATCAATCTTCGACATTGTATATGTTTTTACTAGAATCCAAACTAAATAGTATCTGTAGCTTTAACCCCATCAAAAATATGATTTTCAGACTTCTAAGAAAGCCACCAGGCACGTCCCAGACAGCAAATCTCATTCTTTTTCACCGCTGCCTGTTTATAAGTCAGCCACTGCTAGGAGGGAAAAATAGTTAGGCCGTTTTGAGCAAACAAATCTAAGATACTGAAACTAAACTATTAACAGAGAGACAGCTCTGAATCCCACCTCTGAAAAGAGCCACTCAGAGTCTCACACGACTCATTACAAACAGAGTGTGTGTGTGTGTAAATATTTAGCAGCTCTTACTCAGGCGTGCATATCTGTAACAACGTTAGTGCATGTTTGAACATGCAAGAGTGCAAACTGTCAACGAGAGCACTTCATTGTGCAAGTCTGTACATATTTGACTGCATTAAGACTGCGCAATGTGGGAAATTCACGAGTATGAGATACAGACAGACTTTGTTTAAAATGTAAACACATACTGATCCTGTGTAACTACATGCAGTTAACATCGAATAAAAGAGATGCTGAGCCATTCTGCTGAGACGAACAGACCAGCTGTAGCCCAAATTTGACTTGAGAAACAGCAGGAAAGAGCAGTTTTAGGGAGCTAAGCTATGCTTACTGCTGCTAATTTTAGTGGTTCAGCTTGAAAAGCTGCAGTTCCTCCCCACAGACTGTTAAAAAGTCCAACTTTATAGCACAAATAAACATGTTCACAGCAGGTTTCTCTCTTTAAGTAGGACTGCACAGCGTTTTTATCCCTTTTCCTCTATCCACACATGTTCAGAAAACATCCTGCACATTTTTAAAGCCTCTTTTTTTTGTTTGAGATTATTTCCTATAGCTGGTTTTCATGTAACTGTCTACTTGAGCTACAGCCAAAGGGGAAAACTGCAGTTCACCACAAGGCCAAAAGCAATACAGATTTTTGTTGAATGATGAAAACTATTATAAATAAGAGGAAATGCTGCTACAATTAAGGCTGCAAAACTTCTGAAACTGGCTGAAGGTGATTGTTGGCCATTTTAAAAATACAGACCTACCAGAAAAAGTATTTTCAGACAACAAAGCCATCCTAATAACACTTAACAGCAGGTTTAAAGGTCACTTGGACAGAAATAAGGGTGCATGAGAGTCAGAAGATTATAATATAACGCCAAATCAGCCTTCTGTTGTGTATTCAAATGAAATAAAGACGACCTTCACATGCTAAATGCCTCTCAGCTCTATGAATGTGGTGCACACAAACAAACTCTTTGTCCCTGTTTTAGTTTGCTGCAGTCTGCCCACCTGCTCCAAAACACATGTTGGTGTCTTTGGATAGTTTCTTCCTTCATCAGCTGTACGATGGGTGATTTTAACTCTTCACCTGGATACTAGAGCCATGATTTGATGTTCCACCCTCTTGTACAATTTTGGTCACTTCTGGCTCCACACAAACAAAATGCTAAAGTTCAAAACAAACCGTCTGCGTGTGTTTCGTTCACTCACCCTGAAGCTATGAGCGCTCTGGACTGAGCCATGGCAATCCTCTGCAACGCCGGTCTGCTCAGGCCGGCTAAGCTTGATCGCTGTGGTAAAGGCGCGTGGCACACTGTCGCTGCGGATGATGCTGACCGCTGCGGCTTCATCACCACCGGTGATGGAGTTGGCACAGGAGAAGGAGGCGTGGTTACGCTGCTGGCAGGGGTGATCAGAGTGGCGGTTGGCACCGAGTCGCTGGCTGAAGATGAGGAATGCTTGGGTGGAACGGACGGCGGGTTCGGGTTGGATGTGGGGGGCTGAGGTGGCGGGAGCGACGGCGGAGGCGGCCTGCTGGAAGACACGGAGATCCTCATGGAGGAGGTGCCAGCGGTGAGGGCGGCGAGAGACTGAGCGAAGAGCTGGGCGTTCACCCTCTGGGAGGCGGTGTTCTTGGAGATGGCGAGGCCGTGCGGCAGCGTCTGATAGTAGCTGGAGTTGGCGTTCTGCTGCTGTCCCCGTCCCAGGGTGGCTGATTTCGATGGACTTAGTGATTTAGAGGGGGGTGGCGCTGAGTTCTTGGGTCGCTGCATGGTTAAAGATCGTCTTCCCAGAGTCTGTATTCCTCCTCCTGTATTGGCCTTCACACTGAGGACCAGCATGCACTGCTGGCAAGAACAAGGCTGGCCTAATGCTGTGGCTGGCAATCCTCCATTAGGGTAGACAGAGCTTCCGACCCCCATGCTGGCTCCTGACACCCCAACGCCCAGCAAGGCCCCAGTCAGGCCTCCGCTCGCGCCTACACCTCCTCCTTTAGGTACAGGGAGCGGACCGGACACTATGGGGTAAGCCATGTCAGCACGCCGCTGGATCCTCCGACACCTCTGGCTCTGTCTGTTCACCTGCAGGAAGACAGAAAAATGAATTTTCAGAAATAAAGAAATAAAGATCGCATCCTGCAAGAAAGGTTCAGGGTGCACATGAACAAACCTGCGTCATGTTCTGAAAATCAATGAGGTAGCAGAAGCCGAGCGGCGTCAGGTCGAGGCAGGGCTGCTGACGACTGTGGGCGCTCTCGATGGCGATGGCCACCTCCATGTCATACGGCGTCCATGTGCCTGCGTCGTTTTCCCACTCCCACTGCCAACCTTGACCCGGGCCCGAGGCTGGATCATAAAAACTCCTCCGTACCGGACGGATGGTTCCTAAAAGACACAAACAAAACTCTGGGTCAATTTCAGCCTCTTTGTCCTGAGGACAGCTAAGTAAAGATGCCACGCAGAGATGCAGAGTTTAAATGTCCACATAAGAACCTCTGTTCGATCCAGGAGATGCAAATCCCTTTGGATCAGGAGGGTCAAATCTGTGCTACCTGCTGTGATGATCACTTGTGAGTAAAGAAGCAACCAAAAGCAAAACAAAGCTAGAGGAATTATGAGATCACAGATCTCAGGCCTCCTAGGCGAGGCATGTCCGAGTGAGGGCAGACCAGGACAGACACTGGATTAATAATGTCTCTCAGCTGGAGCAGGAAAACCTTGGTGACCCACCAGAAGAACTGGAGTATGGTGGTCTGGGTGAGGGAGGCAAAGGTTAAAATATCAATACTACAGTCTAAATATCAGGTGTGTGGCTACATGTTGGTGACCTTTTCCTGGATTCTGGCTCCACTGACAGGTGAGTCATGACTGGTAATGGGCGTGGGTGGCATGTTGAACCTCATCTCGTCAATTAACATCACATTTAGGAGGTCAATTGAAATGAATGAGAACATGTATGCAAGCTCGTAAATGTAAAAAGACAGAAAACAAAAACGTGTCTGTGGGTGAGAAAGGCTCGGATACGTGAGAGAAAAATAAATGGATGAGGTTACTAAGTTCATATGAAATATTAGATTTTTATAAATGTCTTTGCAAAAATTAAAAAAACCAAAACCCTCAAAGCCAACAGAGCCGGTCACTTGTCTTAGATTTACTTTGCTTCACTTCTGGCCGTGCTGCTCCTGTGCGGGTGTTTCATGGTGGGCGACTAATAGGGGCGGAGTTTCTAACACAAGTAACACAAACACAATTATATGATTTAGTCAATCTCAACAACCACTGGCAATAAATAATCACGCTTTAACATATTTCATATTTGCCTGAGTTAGAAATCTGAAGGTATTTACATCGTAGAAAATCTTAATTTTAATGAACTGCCCTAACTTTTCAACCTCACACGAACTAACGGCACAGATGGTTGTAAAACACTTAGGAGACTCTGCACATCTCGGAGGAGTAACTGTTGTTGTAAACAGAACAGCACAGCAGACCCAAAACCCAACAAAGAAAGTCATGAAAACTCCAATAAAGATATGAAAAAAAGTGAAAAGAGAAAGCAGAGAGATTTGCCTCGAGTCTGATCACATGAGCTGAACTAAATCTGTGGGGAGGATTGATTTAGATGTATCCCGATTCCACCCCGAGAGATATGATCTTGTGGCCTGATCGGCCACCCCTAAGTGAATAATAATCTAATTTCCCATTAATAGGCAGCATGCCTGCAGAAAGAGCAGAGACGCTGAGAGGAACTGAAAAGGGCAACAACTGATGGCTCCATGATGCAGCCTCTCGAGCTGCATGCATGATTTTCATTAAAATACTTCGATGAGTTTCCACCACAACAGCTCCACAAAGGGGACGGGAGAGTCCTCTTCTGACAATCACATGCTCGTATTGCTGCGTTTTCACTTTCAGTCTAACACAGCGCTGACAGTCTGCTAAACAGTCAAAAGATTTTTTTAAATACCACAAGAAATACTCAGAACAGTGTTTCTCTGTCTCCCCGTGGGGCCGAGGGATGGCAGGAGGCTCCCTAAGCCAACCAACCAGAAACTACCACCGTCTCCAGGGGAACGGGCTATTCAGTCAAAGCCAGGGCAAGAGCAGGAGGGCATATGTGTGAGAGGCTGTTATAAAGAGGTTATACTGGCAGAGTGGCATAAGCACACAAACCTAAAAAAACACCAAAGGAGGTGAAGAAACAGAGACAGGGCGAATGATCGAACTGAGATATCAAACTCTGCTTTGTGCCTGGAGATGTGCAGGAGTTCACAAGAACATCGTCAGTGTGTGGGAGAGAGGAGAAACGGTGCTTCCCCTCCTCCTCCTCCTCCTTCACACTCTGTTGAATGGACAGCACAGCAGGGAGCACTTGACCTGCTGATTACCATGAGAAACGTAATTTCTCTCTTTCGAACTGCAGAGAGAACAAGTTCATTCAGCCTGAGACAAACGGCAGACTGAGGCCGACCCTCGCCGCTGTCTGTCTGTCCTTCGTGATGTTCGCCCACCGTGACAGCAAAATGTGAAATCTGGCCAGACATTTCCTAAATTTAGAGGCAGAGAGATCCAAAAAGGTCTTAATGTGAGGTATGACCCCGACCAAGATGAGAGCGAGAATTTAAAGTTCAGTCACGACTTGTTGGTGTTTTCTGGTGAGAAGAACCTGCAAAACGCTCAAGCAGCCGTTCATTTGTGGTTAGAGCTGCGTCAAACCCAGAAAACACCAAAAACACATATAATACGAACCCTTTAGCAAGTACAGACATAGCTACCGCCATTAGATCCCCCGCCGCTAATGCACTCAAAGTAAACACAGGACAGATCAGGGCTGTTCTGAACAGATTGGCTCGTTGTCACTGATGCTCAAACCAGATCGCTGATTCAAATCTGATCTCTGATCAAAATACTGGATTAGTGCATACCTACACAGAACACCACACTCTGTACACGAAAGCAGGAGGAGGAGGCATTGTGGGAAAAGGATTCGCTGTACTGCATCTGTGTACTTTGTGTGTAGTTACAGCTTAATCTGTGCTGGACTCCCACTCAGCAGGCCAAGGTCTTATCACAGAGAAGACGAGCTGCCCTTTGTTTCTGAACACAGTATCAACATCTGAAAGGTTTCCGAGTGCATACCGATCTTTTCCTGCATATCACACGGCCTTGACAGCTCATTTCCAGATAACTGCGAAAGTCACATGAGCCCTTTTTTGCACTGCGGCCCTAATGTTTCCTGACGTCCGAGTCTCGTCCGATCTGGGAGCATCTTCATATCCAATGTTGTTCATAGAAAACATAATCTTAATTATGCATTTACAGCGATTATTACTTAAAAAGGTTTAAAAGAAGAACTGTGTACCAACAGCTAACAGTAAACTAGCAACAGCCAAGTTAAAACCTACAGCACATGTTACAGTCTCGGGACACATTGTTATGAATTTTCTTTTAATAAGGTTCCAAATACAGACAGCATCAAATCATTTGTGTAGCTACTTCTTACGGTCAAAACATTGTGCATATTTGTTCCTGAGTGAATCGGTTTGGCTGAGATTAAAGTTTTAGTTTTTACACAGCTGAATAAACGTCAAGCAGACAGCTGATTATCAGAAGTATGAGATGCTCGAGAATATACTCCGGTGTCCCGTTATATTTTAGATAGCAAGGAGTTTAGATAGTACGGAGCCCCGCAGGGGACATGGGAGAAAAAAAAAATTACGACAGACTTTTGTGAGATCTCGCAAAAACTTTTGTGAGATCTCGCAAAACAAACTCGGGATCTCGCAAAAGTTTTAGCCGCATTCTTCGGAGGCCGCCAGCTCGAAGCCGACCGGGAGGTCGAGGCACGATGTGCCAGGAAAGCGGTGTTCCTCCCGGCTGTAGTAGGTCTCGACCTCCCGTTAGCTTCGAGCTAGTGGGTGTCAGATCTCTGAAAACGTCGGAGCACTTTTGCAAATATGTGATGTCTTGTAAACCGAGCAGGTATCTGACGTTTACACAGCTACATTCACGCCTCAAAATATCTTAAAAGTGTATTTTGTGACCCAGAAAGAGTAATATTACAACTAAGTAGCTGCCGCCATTGTTGGAATTCAACTTTTGAGAGATCTCGCAAAAGTTTTGCAAGATCCCGAGTTTGTTTTGCGAGATCTCGCAAAAGTCCGTCTTAATTTTTTTTCTCCCATGAACCCCTGCGGGGCTCTGTAAGATAGCACGGAGAAGAAGCTTCTTGGATGAGAGGTGAAACTTCTTCAAGCAACTTAAAGAAGTCCAGACGCTTTTCTTTGCAAGCTCCTTTGACTACGATGACCTGGATGACTGAGAACCTTCACAGACACAAGGAGTTTATAAAACTTCATCGAAACAATCTGCAAATTTCATTAAAGTTTAATACACTATCATCTTGTCTTTATTTTTAGTTAGCACTTACCTTAAACACTTAAAGCTGTAAGCTAATTATAGTTATATAAGAGCAGATGCTGCTGGTGCAATAAGCTGTATGTTTTACGTCCAATGGATGCATGATCTGATTAGTCGACTAATCGCAAAAATAATCGGTGACTAGTCGACTATCAAAATAATCGTTTGTGGCAGCCCTAGCTACAACTGTGGTTTGCCTCCACCAGTGTGTGAATGTGAGAGTGAATGAATAGTGCAATTTTAAAGTGCTCTGAGTGTCTAGAAAAGCGCTAAATAAATGCAATCCATTATTACTGTTATTGTTACTGGGAAGCTGGCACGTTAAAGACCAGTTGTTCAATCCAACTGATGCGAACATCCACCTGGTAAGTCAAGGTTGCCTTGGATGCGCAAAAACAGTTACCGTAATAGCTTTGTAAATATTCACTAAGCTTGAGAACATCTGAACTTTCCAGGACTTATTTTACTTCGACAGCTGCATGACAACTAAAAACAAACCAGTTCCATAACTCATCAAGTCGGTGGCCAGCGAACCACTAAGGTTAGACTTTAGTCGCATTACAAAAGATGGATGTAGCTTCCAGATCGGAAAAATTAAGCACTTTATATTTAATGGCCAGCAGGAAACCATAATGTTTTTCAGTGGAAAAAAGGCCCTCAGCTCTGAGCTCAGTTAGCACTTTCCAGTCTTTTTTTGTTTTTAATTAAGTTAATTTTGGCCTTTTTACGAGTCACAAAGGAGGACAACGCTTGTTAACCGGAAGTCGTTAGCCAATGAGCTGTTCTTCAGCCTCTCAGTCAGATCCACTCCACACTTCCAGTTTCAAAACACCACGATGGCGACAGTGAAAACGCTCAGCTGGAACCTTATGGACTTGTTTACAGGCTGTCACATACACAAATAACAGTAAGCTAGTATCTGTGGAAACATCAGCCTGGCCAGTCTCTTAATCAGGGCGTAACAT